TATATGTTTCATGTATGTTCATTTTCTAAAATATCAGCATTACATTCCAGTTGGACTCTAGCAAACATGGACTTCTGTATCCAGTTGGGTGTCATGTCTGCAGTCTGAGCTTTTGTGGCCTATATGAAGACTATGTTGATGAAAAGATGACTCTTTTGTTACCACAGCACCATTTTTTGTGACACCATTAAAGCCATTTTCTCAACTAATTTGTGCCTTAACCATTAAAGAGATTTGATATGACTAAGACCTGGTATCCTAACCCTCAAAGTTATAATACTTCACTCCCATGAGTCTCTCTTCACTAACTTTGGAGAGCAAGACAACTAAAAATCTGTTTCTGGCAATACACATTATGTTGTTGATATACTTTCTCCACACTTCTGCAGATCTCTGGGTAATCAATATACTTGCTATAATACGTCAGGAAACAGACTGACTAGGCCTTTTCTTTTTCTAATGAAAGCAAAAGCATTTCTGATTGTGGAACGCGGCTTATGTTACTCTTACCAAGAGTTCAGGTAACTTGCATTAATAATTTGTTCCATGCAATGCACAATAAAAATACTGGCAATACCCATTTGAACAAATTAGCTGAGAATGTATTTCGGATTCATGCAATATTTGGAAACAAGCTGATGAGTGTTTAGATTAATTTAAAGTTTTCTCAGCATTATTGGTGATATGGAGATCTAAATGGAGATATTTATTCTTACTAAAAAAACCCAGCGAAGAAAGCATAAGTGCACTGCAATGTGAATATATAGCAGAGGACAGAAATGGTAGATATGGGTTCTCTTCTGTTGAGTCATAACATGAGAAGGCATTTATCTTGTTTGTTTCCCTACTTAGGAAAAAAAAAGTTTTATCCTGCTTTTGTAAGCTACTTCAAGAGCTTTGAAAAAGATACTATAACTAAAATATTACATACAAAAATCCATTTGGGCTGAAAAGTGTACAGTATAGTGCTATCTTAGGACAAATGTGCGTTCTCTTTATTTGGGCTAATGACAGAGTTCTTGAAAGCTGATAGAGTGGGGTGGGAGTATTATACAATGGCAATTTGCATACTCGAATGTGTTAATAAAAATGCAGGTACAGTAACTCCCAAGTATAAACAGTTGTATTCAATTTTTAGACTTAAGACCTAAATCAGTGATAACATATTAAAATATTATTGTTTGTAAATGGAAGCTATGACCTTAAATAAACCTTATCTTTTGCATCTACCATACATTCAGCTTTTTTTCTATTAATGTGGGTATAAAAAATTAAAACTGAACAAGATGAAACTTGTGACAGCTGAATAACAGAAGAACTCACGTCAGTTCATGTTTGTATTTAAAGGATGTGTGGTGGGGGGAGCAGTTAAATGGAATAAAAGTATGTGATAATTGATATTTGTATCACTAGAACTCCTCTCTTCTAAACTCTTTTTTTTTTAATGGACATTTAAAATATTTAACACTAATGTGAGATGACACGCATTGAGCAAATTGTATGTCATATTACTTGATTGGTAATGCCAGTTCTTATTGCCCAAGTGTTAGCCAGTCTTGGGGAATGTCACTTTAATCAATGGAAGATTTTATAAAGTAGCGGTATCTGCAGAAAGTGAATGTTGCTCAGGCTGCCTGGGTTGGAGATTCATGCTAAGAACAGAAATACACAAAAATGAGAAATAGCAGCTTGAGAGAGAAATAAAAATGGCACTAAGAGCTAAGCAGAATAAATCTGTGTATCCAGAATGACTTATGGCCCTAGAATTTTCAGCACAGAGAGACACCCAGCCAGTTACATATCCAACCTACAGTAGTTTCATTTAGGCTGTTTCCTTGTCTTTACTAATGGGACTAAGATTAGAGATGACAGCAGAAGCATTACTAAAGTGGAAACATTACCATATTCACTGTTCCTCTCCCTGCATTGACAAACCCCATCACCTTGTAGGAGGAAATTGGTATGGCTAAGCATAACTTCTTGACAAATGCATGTTGGCTGGTCCCAAACAGTTCATTAACTCCTAGGTACTTAGAAATACATTCCTTGATGACATGCTCTATGTTTCTGGGTGTCAAAGTTACTGATAGATCTGCAATTGAACTCTTTTCTTCCTTCTCTCTTTTGAAGATGGGTATTATATTTATTTGCTGTTTTCTAGTTGTCTGGGGCTTCACCTGACCTCCAAGATAATAGGCAATGGATTGAGAACATAACCTGTCCCCTTCACCCTCACCCAGAGCCCTGAAGATGCTTCTAATCTACTAAGTGTGTCACCCCTAGCAGTATCAGTGCTCACATGAAGACTGTGGGATAGTAGTTGTAGGGACAGGTGAAGCTCATCAATTCATCTTTAATATCTTGAATTCAAGGCTCCTGGGAGGCAACAAGATGTCGTGAGACAACAGGTCTGGTCAGTACATTCCCTCCATTCCCCACAGAAGGGAGTTGCAAGCTCTCACCACCGTTTGCTGCTTCTTGATGCTGGTGGTCTCCATTCTAGCCTATGGGGTGCATGACTTGCCTATCTCCCCCAATGGAGAGGCTTTGTACCTGTTCATCTCGGTGGTCGGGTTCAGAAGTGGGGTACTGTCTGCTGAACAAAGGTGGCCAGCTGCCAGTTGTACCCCCTGATGTTGTCTTCATTTTCTAATTTCTTCTTCACCTGGGCTGCTTCTATAGTCATGGAAGTCTCCCTGTGCATTAAGTCCTTGTGTTCTCAGATGCCTATCAGTCTACCTTAGCCACCTCCCATATCTGGTTCCTGAGGAAATCTACCAGGAGTCACCATTCACACCCGAAACACTCTTCTACCTGGCTGTCTTTGGCAGGAACACACAGGCTACACTCCCTGAGACCTGGGTGGAAGCCTTAAAGGTCTTGGTTTCAGAGGGGCACTACTTGCACAGGCTCTTTAACCCAGCAAGAAAAACATAATGAGAACCAGTATCTGGAAGCTGAAGTCACATCAGGCATAAACTTCAACCAGTTACTGTGTTCAGCACAGAAATATTGGGGGAACTATAATTGTCTTATCAGAAGCATAAGTGATCTTTAACACTAAATGAGTTATTTGATTTTCTGGAAAGTGAGGCTAAGAGTTTCCAAATTGACATTCAAAAAAACCATTTAGCTACAAACATGTCCTGTTCTTTTGCAAAGGAGCAGTAAACACCCTTCTTCTGGTATTGTTGGCCATAACATAAATATTATGAGAACAGTTTAAGTACATGTATTACTGGTAAGGACAATGAGCAATTTATGTTGCCCTCAGCTAGTAATCTATGACTCACTGTGACATAACAGCTACAGATCTGGGGGTTTGCCTGAATACTCCAGCTGGTGGTGCTTTTGGGTCCTGACCACTGAGCAACAGAGTGCTTTATACTTGAAGTCAGAAGAGTCTAAGCTATGATCTTGCTTTGAGATCTCTAGACACAGAGGCAGGTACGCAGCCCTGCCTCTACCCTGTCTTCCCCTCCTAAAGACAAAACCCACAACCCTCATGTTTCAGTCAATTCAAACAGTTTTAACATCCCTCCATCCTATACCATGGAAGTTTCAAACATGTCTGCTGTGAAATCAAAAAAAAAAAAGTCACTTGTACAAGATTTCGGCCTTTATATTCAGCTGCCATCTACAGGGTTTCCAAATACTTTCCTCAGTGTAAATAACCTAGAGAGATTCTCTTGCATACTGCCATATCAAACAAAATTAGTATCTTGTATTTTTAATGATTTTTTCATAGCTTAATTTTATGGTACTGTTTAGGGAGACTTGTATTTCTTGTTTTAATATTCTTTTTCCTTTCATAATTTATGTCTTACAATAAGACAACCTGAACCTATGTTGGGAAGGGTGGCATATAAATAAGTGTTTTGAATCATGTATATGTTCTTAATATTTAAGTCTTAACAGTTTATCATACATATATGAAACGTACTGTATTTTGCATGTATGTACATGTATTTTGCATGTATACACACTCACTATCTATATTAAAACACAACAGCCCTTCCATGATCTGCTGGGTAAATGGCTATATTTGACATGGAGTATTGCCTTTATGAACTGAATCATGCCCAAACAGTTTAAGGAGTTATCTTTTAATGTCCAAGATTGAAAATACTTATTTCTGAAACACTGTGTTCTTATGGTATCTGTGGATTTTAGAAAACATTTCAGTGCCCTGGCCCTAAAACACCTAAAATCTCTAAACCATCTGGTTTGGAAAAAGTTGCTGAAGTTCTCTAGTGATAGGCTATAGCTACAATTCTGCTTTTCCCCAATAACAACTGTCACCCAATCCTGTCACTGCCTAAATGGGTACTGACATGGCTCCCAATGCTTCCTATGAAAAATGCCTAGAAAGAAGCAAAAAGATTGGGAAAGCTAAGGGAGAAGAGAGCCCTTCTAGAAAACAGCCCAAAGAATCTCTTCAAGTGCATCTACTAGATAAGACGATTGGTTCAAGGACTGCAAGGTTCTAAGACTAAGGCTGTGATTCTCAGCCAGGGTGCCATAGCATCTTGGGGTGCCACAAGATCCTTTTAAAGGTGCATCTAATCTGCTCTCCCTGCTTTACAGTATTACCATGTATTGTGTAAAAGGGTATTTTTACAGTGTAACTGAATGACCCACATTAGAGAAGACTGCAAGTACATGTTGCAAAGGCCCCAATTCGGTTATCACACAGACTTTTTCAGAAAGTTACAGAAAGACACAGTAACCCCCTTTGGAACATTTCCATTGAAATAAAATATCTTAACCTGCGAAAGGCACTTCTCCCATTACAAAGGCCTCTATTGCTTTATATAGGCAGCTAACTCTGTTACCTGCCTAGCAGGCCGATTCTCACTTAGCAGGAACCAGTCTATTTTGTTTCTAACCCAACACTTTTCTCCTTTGGTAATGTATCTACTGTGCTGCTTGTAAATGTATGTTGACAATTTATGTAGATTTTTGTTCAAGAGATATGGTGGAAAAATCCCAGACAGCAGTGAATTATAAACTTCAGTCTTTATTTATAAAGTGAAATTGCAAAACAGAAATTTAAGTACAGTTCTATCTGAAGAATTTGAAGGTGTTTTACATTCAGTACATATAGATCAGAGGCAGAGGTTTCCATAGTCTGTAATCACTTGTAAGTAAATTAACTATCTAAATGGTAGTAGAATTAATACCTTGATTAGAGATCTCTCCAACAGGAGTTGAACTATTATTTTAAAAGACCTTCTTTTCCTCCTTGTTACCTTTCATAAGTTGGTGATTAAAAAATAATTCTCTCTGTACTTGTCATCTGAATTGTTGAAATAAATATAAGCAAGGTAGAGTTTACTTGCATGTTAAATTTCTGACGTGCATTGTTAGCAGCTTCATCTTTCCCTGCATGCTTTATTAATTCAAACAGCACTTAAGAATGGAGCGTTTAAACCAAATAACATTTCAAGGAACCTCAATCCTTCTATTAATGCCCTTATTTTGTGTTTTGCTAAGTATTCACTAGCGATTATGTGCCTGTATAGTATTACAAGGTGGGTACTTATTCAGATACAACCATGAAAGAAGTTGAATAAGATACTTCTCCCTCCTTTCCTCTAGTAATTGTCTATGATAGGTCAAATTAATGTAGCTGGAATGAATCAATTGGTATGTGTCCTGTAAGGTCCTATTTAACTAACTCTATGTTTTTGCTGTTTTCTGTTCCAGGAGAATATTTAACAAAGGCTGTGGTCTCATCTTTTAGCAGTAGGGTATGGTGGGAAAGTACTCAGTCACACTCCACGCTGCAAGCTGGTCAGAGGGACTTCTGCAGAACATGGTGACTGTTAGTCAGTATTTTAAAGAAAATTTTAAAAAGAGACAGGTTGATGTTTGTTTTTGGTTTGGCTCCAAAACAGTTCATTAAGCAACTGGAGAAGGGAGCTAATATTTCTCCCTCTCCCAACATCAGCTGCTTGATGATTTAGAAAAGGGTCCAAATCTTTCCAACCCATCCTCCAGAAAGTGTAAAACATTTTTTTTAGATACAGAGCTTGTGACAAGTGAGTGGAGGAGAGGCCTGCATGGGTTTTTTCTGATGCAGGAAAGAAAGAATGTCAGTTTAACCAGTTCTAAATTTCTTGACACAAAACTGGAAAGGGGGCTTAGTTTTTTTGCTCCTTTAGGTATATTGAGAAGTGGATCACATCTGCAAAAAGTGTAGTTCAGGAGATCACAGTTGTTTTCTATAGTACTTAAATCACAGGGTATGTTTAACATTAACTAAAGAGCAAGATATCCGATAGATGAGTGTAAAGGACAAAAAATAAATTCCAAAAGAAAAAAAAAAAAACTTCCTGATCTAAATTTACTTTGGAAAAGCCTGAAGAGTCACAAAAGAATTCACTATGAAAGGAAGGAAGGGAATTAACTGATGGTCAGAGAAGCACATGGCAGTACTGAAACATGTATAAAGGTGTAAAAAGAAAACTGAAGTAAAACATTTCTATTGCAATAGAATACTTTAACATCTATTATATTGCAATCTTTGAATTGTCCAGTGAAGTCCCAACAAGTTCAGTAACTAGCCACTGATTCCAATGGAAATAACAGTTGCAGCTAAAGTAAACATACTAGGAAGTAGTTATATCAATGTGTCCACCCTAGAAAAATTAAAATATTTTCCCCACTGTGTAAGAATGTGACATAGCTACCCATCTGCAGAGTGTGTGTGTGTGTGCGCGCGCGTGCACACACATATGTATAGTAAAGATGTTGGTTATGCTACACTATGAAATGATAAAAGACCTGAAATCCACTTAGCTCTTCAAAAAAAAGCTCAAACAAAAAGTGTTCCCATTGGTTGGGGATATACATTTTCCCCTAGATTACTTGTCCCATTGAAGCATATTTTAATCACTGAAGCTTAGTTATTAACTCATGTCTAACACCACTGTTTCCCTACCTTTTATAAAATGTTTATACTTAGTTTTACTGTTAAATAGATTACATCTGTATGAACAAACTTTAGACTCTCCTTTAACAGTTTAGAAAAACTAAAAGACTAAAAGACTAATCAAGTTCTGCCAACAGTTTTTTTGTTGGTTTTTTTTTTTAAACAGATCAAGTTGGATGTTTCAAAATTACCTTCAGAACATCTTTATCATCACTGGAGTAGGAACTGCATAAGCACTGGGAAACAGTTTGCAATCAACTGATCAATTTGCACTCAAAGAACTGATTCAGTATCATGAGGTAATACTATTTCAGTGTTTACTAAGCTTAAGCTTTTGAGTCAGACTGTACAAGTAATCTAGTTTAACAGCACGGTTGAAAACATTTTGTGCTTTTATAGCAGCTTCATAATCCACTAAAATGTACAGACTTGTGCAAATTTGTAATGTTTTACATGATCATACAGTACTTAACATACAAGCTTTACTAGTGGTATAAAAGTAAGAAGACTTTTAGTGCTCTCTCTTTCAAATTTCTCTAAGATTACATACTTGCACAATATTAGAAATTAATTGGAAGCAGCCAATCATTTCTGTGAAAAAAATAGTCTGGCTATTTCTGAACATCGGCATCAAAATACAATAGATTCTTATTCCAAAATAGAATAGATTCTCATTCAATCTCCTTATCTAAAAATCCTCAAAAACAGGCAGACAGTAAATACATTTTTTTTCTTTTCTGACAGTTAAAGGAAAAAATAAATAATTATTTGGGATGATGATAGTGTAGTTCTGCAAACCTTCTCATATAGTCTTCATTTGTTTCAATGAGCTACTTGTAAAAGTAAAGATTTGGAAATCCATAGCCACAGCTACCTTTAATTGAAACTCATCGCAGTATAAGTGGGAACAAGAATCAGGATAGAAATTAAGAGAAAGATAATAAAGTGTATAGCTATTAAACAACGAGCTCAAATTTAAAATAATAGTTTTGAACTGATAATGTTCCATGGCATATGAACAATATGAATTCTAAAGTGAGATAAGAAGTGCTTTGGGAGAAAAAAAGCTGTATTTACTAGTGTAGATCAATGTGAAAATTTCAGTTCATTAGTGAAGTGGAATTTTTGAGCTCCTACAGTAATGCCTTATTACCTCCATGAGAAGAGACTTCAGTCAGTAGGTGTTTCAGTTTCTGCTGGACCCCTAATTAGTCTTCGGATCCCCCTTTTTCCTGCAGGCCCTTTTGGTTTAGGAAAGCTTTGTTTGTGGCCGTGTTGTTTTGGGTGAACCTCTTCATAAAGGAATTCAGGAGTTAACTCATCACCATTATCAATTTCAATCTGCCAAGGAAAATGAGAGATTTAACAACTGTTATAGAATTTGTGCTTGCTGAAGTGCTAAAACTATATTCAAACAAATATGAGCAAGGAAGTTTGGAGGAAAAGCTAATTTATTTATGCCTAATGCTCTCAATGGATCCGGGGAACTCCATTTGTTTCTGAATCTGTTAGTCGTGGAATGCCATATAGGTTTGTGTTTATTTTCAGACAAAGTAACACAAATACGAAAGTAACCACCCCATGGTGAAAGAAACTTCTTCAGACCCAAGCTTTATCATAACGTACTAATTATCACCAAAAACCTTTATTCATAAACATTACATTTAGAAACAATCTTTTAGTCTCTCTTTAAGATTATGGACAGATGAAGCAACTGCATCAATTTAAAAGGAGACACAGCCTTATGACATATCAGCTTGATATATGGTAATGGTTTTGTGCATCTGCTCTGTACTGTTGTAACTAGAATCTAAACAGTTAAATTTAGCAGGCATTTCTCACAGAGGTAATATTTCACCAGTTTAGCTTTGACTGACTGCAGGAAAGAGCTGGCTTGCAGAACTTTTAAATCAGATGTGTACCTGCATCCGTTTTAATACAGTATAATTGAATAATATTCTACCAATGTGATAACATGGATTAGCAATCAGCTTTACAGTTCTGACCAACTATATCAATCAAACTACCCATGGACTTGCAAGCTCAAAGTAATATTATTTCCCTACTGCACATATGGGAGAATGCTAATGTACTTACCTTCCTGATAATCTGCATCCACAATTTACTTTCTACAATTTCTAAGAGTGGGTTCTTGCAACTCGAGTAGAGCATCCGTTCTCGTATACTGCACATATACCCAGGCATAGAGTAGATAAAAACTGCAGAACAGAAACTGTGTAAGAACCACCACCTTAAAAATCATTACTTAAAAACAGACATATGCACAAAGCAAAATTGATGATGAAGGCTGAGTGGGAAAAATATAACACTTTCTGCAAATCTTCAGTTTAATGTTTCAGGTGATGGAAAGCTGTTGGTCAATATTTTCACGGTTTCAGTGCCCAACTGAGGACACATTAGAAAGCACCTCATCTGGACAACAAGTACCATATTTTCTCACTTTCCACAGCTCCACCAGTAAGACACACACCTTGTTTTGGGAAGACAGAATGAAAAACATTTTTTCTAGTCATGGCTGAATTCTGACTGCAGAGAATCTTGGCTAGCACTGTTCAGGCAACAGCTGAAGTATCCACCCTCTCACAGTGGCTGGCAAATTGGCAGCAGCTGTTGGCTTCTCAGACAAAAGCTACTACCAATTCTGCAGTGGCTGTGAAAGGGTAAATCCTGTAGCTCCAACCCTGAAGGATGAATTCCAGCTCCTGAGGCTGCCAAGGGGAGAAGCACAGCAGCTATTTTACAGGACCTCCATGCTTCCATTCCTTCATTACAGTGCATACAATCAGCTTCCCTGTTTAAGGTATACATTCCAGTTTTGAAGGGCATGTACATACATTTTTGGGGGAGAAAGTGCATTGGTATGCAAGAAAAAGTCTATAATACTCTCCAAAAATGTATCACCTTCAAAGAGGTCTCAGAGTTCAACACCTAAAAGACACTGAAAATTAGTCATTTGGGAATGATTTGGCTACTGAAATTGAACAAATATCTTTTATAGATCCTTTCCATTTCATGTTACTAAGATTTCTAAAACAATCATATAATGTGTCACATATGAAAACTGTCATACCTATGGATTCCAAATAGTCTCCATCATGGGAATGCTTATAGAGGAAAAAATGATAGCGCGCAGAATCCTTTGGAATTCTGTTTGGCAAATCATTAAGTTCAGTACGGAGCGTGCTGGCCAAAACAATGGTTTCATTTTTTATATCAATTTGCTGTTAATAAACAAACATAAATTAGGGTAAATATACAGAGGGCAAACTGCAGAATGTGATATGGAAAAGATTATTTAGGATAAATTATCTGTGAACAACACATGTGGAATGTATGTTCCAATATGAATATATCCTTCAAATAATACAAAATCTGTTCAACAATTACTGAGTAATGAGTTAAAAATAATTGTATAATTATTTTCTAAAATAGTTAAATGAAGTATTTTGTACTTGCCAGTTGCACATAGTTGATCTGCTTATTCTTCAGTTTTTCCAAAGCCTGGAGAGCTTCTTTAGCTATTGGGAATGCTACCCCTTGCAGAGTCTGATGTTTGGAATCTATACCAACATCTGTTTGTACCTAGAATAAATATATGGATTCAGATTTAAATTATTTTGTTCTAAATATGCATGCAACCTCTAAATTCAGTATGTAATATTACAAACACATCCAGTAAATGACAGAAGTACCATGAAAATGCAGGTATAGTGAAAAAAGAAAGAAAGAAAAAAAAAAAGCAACTCTAAAATGGTATCACTTTACTCAATAAATCTGTTCTTCTTTGTGTTTACAGAATTCCATCTGTGTACTAGCTTAAAAACCCCAATTTTAAACCAATTAGCACTGAGCAATCCATAAAAGTTATAAGAAATAAAACTGAATGGAGTGTTAATGCAGCTGTTAACTACATTCCAATTTCAGAATCTCAATATTGATAAACCAGAAGGAAAGAGTTTGATTTTTACATTCAGGTACTGCAAACAAGGCCAGAGGTTGGCAAATATGTTTTGTTGCTTATAAACTTAAGATTTGATCCAAAGTTCATTGCAAAACAATGAATATGGAAACCAACTACTGTATATCACTTTTAGAGTCACTTTTCAGAGAAGAAATGCTTCTAATCTTATTGTACACGTGCAGTTTTTCATGAAACACACTGTCCTCTGTATTTTATTCTTCAAATCTAACTGATCATAATTTATTAACCACTTGGCAGCCTCTATATATGCAAAAATCTACGTTCTAAAGCCACAAATGCATTTTCCTGCGGCAGATTTACATTCTGCTGATTCATCACCCCACTGAAGTATAATATTAAAAGGTCTGGACTTGTATATAAACAAGCAAAGATGTTACCATTACATTAAAATCTGAGGTTAATCCAATATTAAAACAAAAAACTGGAAATGGAAAAAAGTTTGGAGCAATACTGACTCTCATTGGACATACTAAGGAACAATTTTCCTATAGGAACAGTTTTAATATGGACCCTAATTTATAAATAGGATTATGGGATGTCCGAAACTGAAAAAACAGCAGTCTGGACTCAGTGACCCAGGAGGTACCTTCCAGTCCTGTGTTCTTAGTGATTATACGTAAAAAAGCCCAAATAAGTACAAATAAGATACCATTCATGCAATGCAGAAGAGTCAGCACTGGTCTGCATATGTTCATTCTCTCACTACCTGAATCAAGTTTAAATCTACAACTTTAACTTCATTAAGGTAGCTTTTTCTGTTTTATTTGTTATGTGAGAGAGAGTTACAAAACAAAATCAGCCTATTTGTTAGCTGCTTCAGGTTTTCTTTTGGGGAGGGGGCGGTTAAGGAACATAAAGGGGGAAACTGACTTTTTCATAACTGGACAAGCTAAGGGAAAACCATGCCAAAACCAATGGTGCATATTCTCAAACATTTTATGGCACCTGGTACTGTGGTGGTCCCATGCAGAACCACATGGTGCCACAGGCAGATAAGTCTTCTACAAGACTGGAAGTATTTGCTGCAATTATGCATTCAATCTTATTTTTGTCATTTTCAAATTCACACAATTGAGGGCTAGCCATAGCTGGAGTCAAACTGATTTCCATAACTTTGTATGAACTGACAATTTTTCCCTATTTATAAATTAATTAATCTTCTCTCAATCTCAAAAAAAGCCACAATTAGCTGAGACCAAATATGGAAAATTGTAACCCAAAAGAAGATTTTTTTTGTTAGCTTTTATGTGAAAATAGGAGGAAATATAGCATTTCACTATATTAGCAACACTAAGTATAACTTCCACAATTGAGGAAGCTATATAAAGCAAAACCAAAAAAAACAAACTCAACACACTTTATAACTGCCAAAGTGAGAGCAATCTGTAATGCATACATTTTTAAGTCGTATAGTTACTGGCATATATTAAGATACGCACAGTAATATATACGAATTTATTTTGTTTAGTTAAGTGTATAAAAGGCAATAAAATATGCATGTACTGAATAAAGGTGGTAAAACACATACCACAAATGAATGGTTATCAGCACTACAGAAGTTCCAATCCTTAGGTATTTAAAAATACCCTTTTTAAATAAAACTCAGAATACGGTGTGATGACAAAGTCACAAAACTTAAATCACAAATATTGATTTTTACAGTCTAATAAAATGAATGAAAATATCACAGGGACTAATTTGTTGAAAGAGAATAAAACAGATAAAACACATGAAGGTCTAGTACATATGATGCCCGACAATGAAGACATTATACAGAACACAGGTAGGTGCATACCACGATACGGTCCGCTGGAATCTGATTGCAAAAAAAATAAAAATAAAAACAAACTGTCTATCAAGTTTATATTAGCTGATGTAAAATACAACCTACACAGGCAAAGTTCTGCAGTTATAACCAAATCTGTTTTAATGGCATGCTTTTAATTAAAAGATAAGCAAGTGAAGAAAAAGATCCTTGCTCAGTTGTAGAAGCAAGACATTTCATTCACTGCCTTGAAGATAACTATAGAATTCTTAACATAAAAATTCATACTCTATAGAAACTATGGCAAAACACACTAGGTCCATAAAAGGCAAAAGGGTTATTTTGGAATGAAAGTACCAATTTTATTGCCTTTGGGATTCTATTAACTTACACTCCTGGATTCAAAACAGTCTTGTGAATGAATTCCATAGTCAGAACCTGCCATTCATAGAATCCTAGAAAATTAGGGTTGGGAAGGACCTCAGGAGTTCATTTAGTCCAACCTCCTGCTCAAAGCAGGACCCATCTCAACTAGATCATCCCAGCCACAGTTTTGTCTAGATGGGTTTTGAAAACACCCAAGGATGGAGCTTCCACCACCTCTCTGGGTAACCTGTTCCAGTGTTTTACTACCCTCCTAGTGAGAAAATTCTTCCTAATGTCTAACCTTAACTTCCCTCTCTGCAACTTGAGACCACTGCTTCTTGTTTTGTCATCTGCCACCACTAAGAATAGCCTAGCTCCATCCTCCTTTGAACCCCCCTTCAGGTAGTTGAACACTGCTCTCAGTCTCCTCTTCTCTAGACTAAATAAACCCAGTTCCTCCAATCTTGCCTCCTAAGTCATGTTCCCCAGCCTCTTCACTATTTTTGTTGCCCTCTGCTGGACTCTCCAGTTTGTCCACATCCATTTTGTAGTGTGGGACCCAAAACTGAACATAGTGCTCTAGATGTGGCCTCACCGGTGCTGAACAGAGGGAAAGAATCACTTCCCTTGACCTAATGGCAATGCACCTACCAATCTAGCCCAGTATGCCATTAGCCATCTTGGCAACTAGGATACACTACTGGCTCACATTCAGCTTATTGCCCACTGTTACCCCCAGGTCCTTTTCGGCAGAGCTGCTGCTCAGCCAGACAGCCCCCAGCCTATATTGGTGCATGGGACTGTTCCGTCCTAAGTGCAGGACTTTGCACTTGTCTTTGTTGAACCTCACGAGATTTCTTTTAGCCTGCTCCTCCAATGCGTCTAGGACACTTGGGGTCACCTGCAAACTTGATGAGGGTACACTCTATGCCATCTTCCAAGTCGCTGATGAAGATATTGAACAAAACTGGCCCCAGGACTGATCCCTGGGGCACTCAACTTGATAACGACTGCCAACCAGACATCGAGCCATTGATTACTACCTCTCTGAACCCGATGCTCCAGCCAGTTTTCTAACCACCTTAAAGTCTATTCAACCAGTCCATACTTCCTTAGCCTGCCTGCAAGAATGCTGTACGAGACCATATCGAAAGCCTTGCTAAAAATCAAGGTATACCACATCCACTGGTCTTCCTGCATCCACAGAGCTAGTCACCTCATCATAGAGGGCAATCAGGTTGGTCAGGCATGACTTGCCCTTGGTGAATCCATGCCGACTGTTCCTAATCGCCCTTTTCTCCTCCAAGTGCTTACAAATGGATTCCTTGAGGATCTGCTCCATGATTATTCCAGGGACTGAGGTGAGGCTGACTAGTCTGCAATTCCCTGGATCCTCCTTTTTCCCTTTCTTAAATATGGACACTGTGTTTGCCCTTTTCCAATCATCCAGGATCTCTCCTGATTGCCACGAGTTTTCAAAGACGATGGCCAACGGCTCTACCAATTGCATCAGCCAACTCCCTCAGCACCCTCGGGTGCATCCCATCTGGCCCCAAGGACTTGTACACGCCCAGCTTTTCTAAGTAGTCCCTAACCTGTTCTTTCAACAATAAGGGCTGCTCACCTCCTCTCTAAACTGTGTTTCCCAATGCAGTAGCCTTGGAGCTGACCTTGCCTGTGAAGATGGAGGCAAAAAAGGCTTTGAGCACTTCAGCTGTTTCTGCATCCTCTGTCACAAGGTTGCCTCCTCCATTTGACCCACACTTCCCCTGATCCTTGTAGAAACCCTTCTTGTTACCCTTCACATCCCTTGCTAGCTGCAACTCCAATTGAGCTTTGGCCTTCCTGACTTCATCCCTCCATGCCCAAGCAATGCTCTTATATTCTTCCCTAGTTATTTCTTCAAGGTTCAACTTCTTATAAGCTGCCTTTTTGTGATTTAGTTTACTGAAGAGTTCCCTGCTAAGCCAGGCTGGTCTTCTGTCATACTTGCTACCTGTCCTGCACATGAGGATGGTTTGTTCCTGCACTCTCAGTAAGGATTCCTTAAAATACAGCCAGCTCTCCTGGACATCTCTCCCCTTCAGTCTGGCTTCCCAGGGGATCCTGCCCATGAGTTCCACAAGTAAGTCAAAGTCTGATTTTCTGAAGTCCATGGTCCTTATTCTGCTGCTCTCCATCCTTCCTTTCCTCAGATCCTGAATGCAATCATCTCATGGTCACTGCTGCCCGCGTTAGAGCATGGCCCCTAGTTGGCCACTCCAGCACCTCATCAGATTCATGCTATTTCATAGCCCCGAGGGCAAAAAACAACCAACCTGAAACTTAGCTTGCCTAAGGATGTCATTGTGTCCCTGTCCAAGAATTCTATACTTATTCTCCTCCCGCCTTCCATCCACCACGTTTAAGTACCTCATTAATCTTAATCCGCCGAAGTTCCTCTTCTGCTGCAGTCAGAGGTGCAGGGGATGACTGTGATAGCAAATACTTTCTGTAGCCATTCAGTGAAACATCATCCTGAAAGCAAAGAATTAGTCTTTGAAGCAGTGATTCTTTATTAACAGTTTTCTTTGAAGATGCTTCATAACTCAGAAATAAGAAAGAAAAAACAAATTACTTACCTTTCAGTGCGTGCGATACTGGTCTGTTTAGTCTACATGGGTTCTACTGTGGGTGTGCCGGCACCTCACAAGTGCATTATCAGAACTTTGAACAGAAAAGTCCACTGTTGTGTAGGTCCATGCCCCTTTGCATCCAAGAGTGTAAAGGGCAAGGGCACTGACATGAAGAGTGCAGGAGTTACTCACTGGACACTGCAGCTCAGGAAACTGAGATACAAGCACACCAACAGTGGGAGCCACATAGACATATACTGAAAAGAAGTTGGGATTTTTACAGAAGTATAAATTAGAGACTAAATATAATAAGGAACTTAGCAGAGAGTAATACTGCATAAATATATTTATGGTATAGAGCTGTAAGCTATAAACACACTATTGTATTAATTTTCATGGAAAAATGTTGTATGATGCCAGAATGAGACCTTTTTATTTTCCCTCAATTACAACTGAAAAATTATAACCAGTCAAAACATTGCCTCCTAACAAAGACAGGCAAAGCTCTTTATTTACACATGTTCCTGTGGTTACACACCCTCTCCTCCTCCTTTTGCTAAAGATATCAGCTGTCCAGGAAAAGCACTTCAATTGCACTAAGAGCTCCTACATCTGCGAACACAGTGCAAAAAGAAAGTTCTGAAGGACACAGGGCACTGTGGCATGCTTGCAGAGGAAAAGTAGCCATTGGGCCAAGATGTAGAGCATGCACAGACACTTAGACTCATTACCCTAAACCCCACTGTAAACACGAGTGTGGAAATAGAGCAATATGAAGACCTCATAGTGAATATGCCTAAAATTGAGACTTCAGCAACTCCCTTTTATGCCCCTGTCAATTCATACATGCAGGTACTTCTGCAGTCCTCACCACTGTTACAAGGACAAATCTCACTCCTTCTTCCTTGTTACTGAAATAAAAGATTACAATCTGAAACATAATCCTAGGGCAAAGGGCAAAATGTACTGAATACACAAACCCTGCTCATTATATGTTAAAAAGTAGGAGGCGGACTGGCATGACATTTGCCAGTTATCATTCTAATGACTTGACTTGTATGTTTATTTAGAAGACTCAGATCAAATGTAGGCTCTTGGAGGGAGGAATTTTGTCTTATGTTTGTACAATAGTCAAAATAATGAGGCATTGCATCATATAACTATTCTTATACTTCCCTGTATGAACCAAATCACCGGCTCTTCAACACACCCTAGAAGCTCAATAGACTTATGAGAACTGCTACCTTTTTACCTGGTGTGGAAGTTAGTGTAGGATTCTTATAGTACATGCTCAGGTGTGGAGACACATATTTGGAGCCCTTTCAAAAGAGGACTATTTCAAAACAGTGGCAGCAGTTGCAAACTTATTCTAGCATGTGAACAAACTTAAATGATTCAAATGTAACACTGCTCCAATTTTAAACATGGATGAAGCAGATATGAAATTGGAGGAGGTTTCCTACATCTGAATTATTCTATCTTTGTTCACACATTGGAATTACAATGCAACTGCGACTAGCATTTTGAAATAGTCCCCTTTTGAAAAGACTCCAAATGTATCCACACTCAACAGCCTGTATTTTCTAATGATGAAATTACTTACCGCCACAATTTCTGTCTCTGCAAAAAGTGACAATAACCATGGAATTTGACAACCATTTTATGTAATAATCTTTTTCAGAGAAAAAAAAATCCTCAGCTAAAGACCAAAATAATCTTTTTAAATTCCTATCATGTTTACTTGCATAACAGCAATGATTTCTGATACAAAGCCTACTGTCAAAAAACAGCTTTTGTAAGTAAAAGGCTTACTTTAAATGCAACAATTATTTCCTGCTTTGCATACATGTAGTAAGATTTTAAGAGATAAAGATCCTGCTACTATTCCTAGAGGTAACAGACTGTTTACCCTTTATAGTAACTAGATGCAAAAATACCTTAGACTCAAAGCAAACCGTCTGAAAAAGGAATTTAAAATAATTACTGAAACAGAAACACGTTTAAAACTGAAATGCTATGCTGCACATTTAAAACTGATCCTAGAAATATTTAGAATGTATTTATATTTCTCATTAAAAATATTTACAATTGCTCAAAGGACAATTTAATTATTTCTTAAATAAATGTATTTAAAAAATATACCTTTATTGTTCCAAAAAGTTCATCTTTAATATGTCCGCCTCCAAATTCTTTTTTCAGTGTTGCCCGTGTCGCTGCATACAACATTTTTGGACGAACCTGTTATGTTGCAAGAGAGTCTCTTGATTTTTATGGATATGGAAGCTAGTGTGCTCATATGCTAAGGCTATACCGAAACCAAAAATAATTCTTTAAGAAGAAAAAAAGTCACAGAGGTAATTCTGTTACAGACACAATAGAGGTTAGATTTTAAACTTAGTCCTAATAAAATAAATTCTACAGAATGAGTTTGAGTATACATAATAAGATATGCTGTTACAATCTTAAAGGGTTGAGGAGACAAATTATACAACATAATATCAGAGAAATTTTAAGATTAAATTGCAATTATTATGAACATCATTTTCAAGGTTTGAGGGAAGCAAGAACTTTTTAGCAAGAACTACAAAAAATACAATAGCAGCTCAAAAAAACTGTTGCAGATTCTTTTGTTTATGAACTCAATTTTGAAAGAAGCAACAAGTAATCCTCTTCCCCTTACCCCCGTCCCAAAAAAAGACAGACCTGCCATAAGCACTCCATTACTGTTGTTTTGGTTCAACAAATGGTTTTGACAGACTACTAGAGGCACAGAAAAAAAAAAAACCTGAATTCAACTTCATTAATTGTATTTAAGAAAAACAAACTCTGCAAATTACCTTGATTTTTAAAAGTTACCGGACCCTATAAAAGACTTAAGTATAGCTACTTGCCTCATAAACAGCTCTATAAATTAACCCTGTCAATACAGTTTTCCATTCTGACTAGGATGGAGCTTAAGTAGATTCAAGGCATAACTAATATTAATCTAAGTTATCTAATATTTGACACTTTTAAATGCAAAATGTTTTTAGCATTAAGTAATTTGTAACTTTTGCCATCTAAAAGTTTCTCAAAAATTCGATTTTCCTTTATCCTTTTCCCTCACAGTTCAGTTGCAAGAGACTAACAATACCACCTATTCATCCAAAGAATTTGTAGAGCAGTGACCTTTTTGTTACGCCATCTGCGTGAAAATGGCTAGACTCTGAAACCCACTGAGCCCACTCTAAGATTAGCACCAAACAAGGTCAAGGTGCTGCTCTATTTCCTTTCAGGGGTATACAGACTGCCTCCAAATCTTCCTCTTCCTGCTTATCTGAGATTTATATCAAATAGCCTACAAATGTTAATGATCTTTGAACATTCTTTTTTAAACAAACAAACTAGTGAATATTACTTACATGAGAGTGATCTGGTGACCATGCAATGAAGATCCATTCATATCCTTGAGCATTCTGAGAATCTAATCTGTATAATATATAACATGGTTGCTTGTCTTCAAGAAGAGGAAGAACAAAGGAATCGTACTCCTTTTCCCATGATTCAGTAGACTGCCTCGCAGATCCCACAACAAGCTGCTCTATAAATAACCAAAACTGCAGGTCAATACAAGTAACTTCAAACATTAAGTCTTTACAGTATAAAGACATTCATGGCCTGATCATTCAAGATTATATGCATGAGAATGGAAAATCAAGGACTATGCAGGACTAGGTAAAACATGCATAACTTTTTGCTGATGAATCCTATTGCAACCCAAATGCTAACATGTATGTATATGTCCTTCTGTCATCTCATATTTAGGCCACAACTGGACAACAAACTCCTTGGACAGCAAGTTTCTTTTTTTGTTTTGTTTTTGGAAGTATTTGTTCGAACATCACATAAAGAACTTTATTAGTAGCACTATATAGCGAATGTATAGAGCATTCATTTTTTATATAATTAGAAGTTACACAGTAAATTAAATCCAACTGAAATGTAATCGTCCACAGATGTCAGACTTCTCTGTTAATAAAGGAGCAAATTTTACCCTTAGTGACAGGTATCAAATTTATTTTTGGTATAATTATTTATTTTCTACTGACAACCAAAAGTACAGATCTTCTGAAGATAAATGTGGCTCCAGTTCAAACCCAGGTTGTAAT